ACTTTTAAATAGAGCTCTGTATAGGAAGGGGCACAAGTTGGACCTCTGTGATAATATGCATACATGTGCATAATTTCTTTGGTTGTTTGCTTGCTTTTATTGTTTAAAAAATAAGATGGAGAGGATACAAACATTTGAAGAGCAGTCATTCCAGAGCTTTCCCTAGAGGGAGCCCCTTATATAAATTTTATTCTTTGACTAAGAGCCTTTGTTATAAACTGAATGTTTTGAATTAGTGGATTATTACATTTTTCCATTCAGTTATAAGTCTGGCTCAAAGCTATGAAATAAGAGAGCCTCTAAATTGTTTCAAAAACTGTTTTGACGCGAAGTGGGCCAAGGCAAAATGTGAGGAGCCTCATTCTCCTTGGTACCTTTTTGTCCTATGTCCTGATCTCCTGGTTCTCCTCCTCTCTATTCCCATCCCTTTACTCTTGGGATTCATGTTCCCAGGGTCTTGGTGTACCCCACTGCTGATGTTCCATCTCTCTTGGTTTCTCCCCAATTCTCGGTGGTTAATTACAGACTGGCAAAATAACCAGAACTCTGTTCAACTTTAAGAGAGGAGGGACTTTGGAAGTCTTAAAACCAGGCACTTAGGTGATAATTACACTTAAATAAAGATTGACATGACTGAGGTACTTTATAGGTTGTCTCATTTGTGGTGAGGAAGTTACACTTTTGTGTTGGGTGGAGTTGTGTGTGTGTGTGTGTTTCCCTTTCTCTCTTAGGAGTTGTGGCAGTTACATGCAAATCAGAGCAAGCTTTGGAATACCTAATGCCGGCTCTCTATCACTGGCAAAAGTGGGTTAGAAGACAGGGCATCCTAATTTGCACAAAAATGCAACCAAGTCATCATTTGCAGTTCCTTAGAGATTGTCTTCCAAAGTTTTACTGCTTATAAATGTTCCTTTGGTATGGGAGGCAGAGTCTGGAGGCGTGGTTGGGAAACAATAGTTTGGTTCTTTTTTTCCCCTAAATCAATTCAAATCCTATACACCCTGAATTCACTGGAGAATCAAAGAATCAACAGCGAGAGAATCTCTCACTGCCTGCTCAGCTTCTGTCAAAAGACCTGGATGTTCCTAGTGACCTAGTGAAAGTGGGGCACACCACTGTTTGACCTTGGGTTCCCAGGAGGAAATTCTGCGCTGTCTTTGGGCTCAGCAAAGAGAAAGGTCTGGTCCGTTGGAGAGCAAAGGGAATGAATGAGCCCTGAGGCAGAAAGCCTGCTGTGGCTATCATGCAAACAAGACCGGTGATTGGCTTTCCCTTTCTTTCTGCGCCTGTTGTCACTGGCTGCTCTCAGCCTTAAAGATCAGGTTTCAGTGGGAATTTTTCAGGTTCAAGGACTGCTAATGATTTGTAACTGCCTGACAATAAACCCAACCTCCAGGTTACCACAGCTCGGGCAGATATCTAAGGATTAGAGCAGGAGGAAGAAAGTTAGAATCTGGAGCAGAAAACAGCAGCTTGCCACCTGCCTACTGGGCTGAACTCTTGAATGTCACTTCAGTTTCTAAGCCCCGTGCAGGTGTCTTAGAAATGGTGGTCTTCATTAATGCAAAGATCAAGTCTTTCATTAAACTTTTTAAGAAGAAAAGTAAGTAGTGTGTGTGTGTGTGTGAGAGAGAGAGAGAGCGAGAGAGAGAGAGAGAGAATGTGTTATGTCTTTCTGTTTTATGTACTACTTCATCCTTTTGAGTTAGCATGTGAAATGGCAGAATTGGTGTGAGCTAAACACTGTGTGCCAGTTTGCTCGAATACCTCGGATTTTACAGCAGGATTATGTGATCTTAGCATGTCCTATGTATTTATAGTTGGGATTTTAAGTGACTTGACTTCTTTGAAGAAGGGGAGAGAATTCTTGTATTTCCTTTTCAGTTCCCTTGATAGACAGTGAATGAGCAGTGTTTTGATTCTTTGGCTAAATAAGCAGCTGCAGTGAGGGAGCTTCAGGGGGTGTATCACAGTTTTGGTGGGGATGATCCTCCCACGGCCCCTGGCACTGCCTGTCATGCAGTTCTGAGCTGGGCGACAAAGCCGACATGCTGTCTAGACTGTTGGGTGATTGTTGTACAGAGCTTTTATGATGTGACTGCATTGAGTGCTGACTGCTGTTTTAAACTTCTTTCATCCTGATGCTTTTTCCTTCCTTTGAAAACATATTTTTTACAACTACATGGCTTTGTTTTTGTATCATTGCTGGCTTGTTTTCGTGTCGTTTGAGACCTACAACCTGAAGTAGAAGAACGCGAATCAGTAAGGGCATTGGTTAGAAAAGCTGTGGAGAAAGCAACAAAGACTAGCACTCTGGGCTCATTTTCTGCAGCTCCCTTGCTGGAAAGGCTGTCCGCGGATGGACTGATTAAAATCTGCCCTGGCAGGAGTAGGATATACCAGGGAAGAGACAACTGCTCTTTCACAGGAGCCAGTTGGTAGCTGCGCACTGGGGCTGATGGTGCGATTACAGACACTCGTGCCATTACGTGGATTTGATTTGTAACTGGCAAATAGGAAAAGTTTCCGTTTTCAATATTTTCCAACTGTGGGATATGGCAATTCAATTAAAATAAATGGATGTCAGCAAAAAAAAAAAATGTTGTTAATGAGTTCTGGATATACTTTGGGGGACATATGGTGAATTTCTCACTGTTGGATTCTCAGAAACATGAGAATTAAGTCAGGCCTTTGTGGACTGTATGTATTAAGATTAATAGGTATATGCCCCGTGCAACCCACATGTTCCGTCGTTGATTATGTGAAGTATTAGGTGCCATATTTCCATGCTACCTTTGTCACCCATTAGAAGGAGAGAGTACACGGGACATTTTTGTTTTTGTCTTGATGTCTGGTCCTTAATGTTTATTTTCTCGCTTAGCAACTTATGGAGGGGATGGGATCCTTTCAGAAATACACTCATAGAATTGTAAAAATTAGTAGCTAAAGAAAAGACGATATAGGAGTGCAAGCTAGGCTGTGGCTCGGGTTTACAGGGGAGCTGGGAATGGCACAGTCCTCCTTCAGTGATGGCTTTGAAGTTAGGGGCTCCTTTTGAACCATTTTCCTGTCCTTGCCACAATCATGCTTTATGTGTTATCTTGTTAAGCTAAGAGACTTAAGCATATTAGTTTATTTGGTTTTTTAAAAAGGATTATAGAGATAAGGAGCAAGAGATCGAGAGAGGGGTCTTCCATCTGTTGATTCACTCCCCAAATGGCTGCAATGTCCGGGATTGGGCCAGACCAAAGCCAGGAGCCAGGAGCTTCTTCTGGGTCTCCCCCATGGATGTCAGGGACCCAAGCACTTGAGCCATCCTCTCTTGCCTTCCCAGTCACATTAGCAGGGAGCTGAATCAAAAGTGGACCAGCAGAACTCCAACCAGTGCCCATGTGGGATGCCGGCACTGCAGGCAGCACCACGATGCAAGCCCCGTTCATTTCATTTTTATAATAGCCCTTGTAACTGTACTATGGAATGTGTTTAGTTAGCCTGGAATGTGTTCAGATACATTTAGTAGTTCAAGCACGCTCTCACACTTTTTTGAGAGTCTCCTTTATGGTCTAGTTTCCAGGTTCATGTTCTGTTGTGGAAATGGGGCCGCCCAAAGTGAACTGGCCTCTCTTACTCACATTTCCAGTATCTGCTGGCTCACGGAGGCTACACCTGCCACCTCAAGGAGATGCGTCAGCATTGGTGGGTGGGGGTGGGGGTAGGGGATTTCTCTCAGACTGCTCCTGTGTATCTTCTGCCTGGGTCACATAGAAAGTGTTTTTAAAAAATTATGAATGAATTTGCTTTGGTGCTGTCAGCTACAGTGTTGTCCCACTCTTACCTCAACATCAGTGGTATTGTCAAAGAAAATGAAATAAAGAGGTCTCAAGCTCTCAAGGAATTAAAGGAAATTATTATACAGATTTATGTTAATCTCAGGATTACTTGTTGTTTTCCTCATTTGATATTTGATCTCTTTTCTGTTGGGGAAATTCACTTGAATTGGATTGTGTTGGGAAAAGTCAATAGCCCTATAATTTAAAAAATTTTTAAATATAGAAGTATTCCATGAAAACAAGAGTAGAGAAAGTTTTGTAGCAAAAATGGATCTCTGCTTCTAAATATACCATTTAAATATATTAAATTGAACACTTAAGCTTAATTTTCAAAATTTTTTATTGAGTTTACAATAGTGATGTTTTAAAGTAATGCTTTAAAGGAAAATGTCAACTTCTTGGTGGAAAATTTGTTTCCATCAGGATAATCTAATAGTTGCTGACACAGTGGCGTTATATAATTGAATGTTTGTTGTGGTTAAGTAGGAATCACATAGCAGTTGGAAGTCTACCAATTTCATCAGTCGTTTCCTAACAGAGAAAAGACCCAAGATGCTGGGAAGCAACAAACAATGGGAGCAGACAACTCTATGAAGACAATATAGGCAGTTTCAGTTTTTCCTTTACTGACAATATGGTGGTCAAGATCCCAGGAGTTCAAGATTAAATCCCATTCAGAATTTTCTCCATTTCCTCCTGGTCCTTATTTATGAATGTGCTAAGCACCAAGACCCCATCTGTTATTTATTTATTTGTATTTTTTTTTAGAGGGAGAGTGGGGAGAGAGAGGTGAGAAATGACCGGTGGGGAGAGTGAATGGGGACAGAGAGAGAGAGAGAGAAAGAACACCATCCAGTGGTCTACTCTCCAAATAAGCCTGCAATGGACTGGGGCCAAAGCTAGGGGCTAAAAACCCAACTCAGGTCTCCCATGTGGATGGCAAGAGCCCAGTTAACTGAGCCATCACTGCTGCCTGCCAGGGTCTACATTAGCGGGATGCTGGGGTCTAAGAACCAGAGCTGGGAACCAAACCCAGGCACTGTGTGGGATGTGCGTGCCTCAAGCACAAGGCTGAATGCCCACTCCCAAGACCCCAGTATTGATGTAATTAGCTTGGAGCCACTGAAGCTTGATTTGAAAACTGACTTTGCCCTACCTTTCCTTCCACAGCCGTTTCCAACCTAGATGAGGAGAGTCGCTGGACAGTGCACTACACTGCCCCATGGCACCAGCAGGAAAATGTCTTCCTACCCGCCACTAGACCCCCATGCGTTGAGGACCTGCACCGCCAAGCCAAGCTCAACCTCAAATCAGTATTGAGGGGTAAGCTGTTGCCCTCTGCGGGCCTGTTATTCTTGGTTTACTGACTGTTAGAACATAGATCTGATCCCTGCCTGTAATACATCCCTTTCTATCAAACGCATAATATTCCACATCTTCATAAATACAACTTAGTACATGCCTAAAGTACGCAGTCTCTGGGAAAAACTGTTTACAGATATGCAAATCTATCTTCAAAGAACCCGCTTTTGCCTAGAAACCTTTAGCATGTTTAAACTGCAGGACTCATAGAATCCAAATATACACACGCCTGCCAGCATGGGAAATTTGCCACTGCCTTTTCAAAACCATTGCAAGTATTCAAAGCCAACTTGGGAAAGCTGGTACTTTTCAATGGTTCCTTCTCTTTGGTTCAAGCCAGGTAGAAAGTCTAGATTGCAGGCTTGGAAGGAGCGCTGTGTAGGTAGATTTACCAGAATTTGGGCAGCATCTGACTGGGCTGCTCTGAGCATAGTTTCTGTCTGCAGGTGGCTGGTGGAAAATACAAGAAATATGCAGTCCTATGTCCATAGAAAAATTCTCATTTTTACTTTATTGTTGATGTTAAAAAGAGGAACTGTGTGGCATAGGGGGCCACCTAAAGATGATAAAGAAAGGGAAGGGTTTTTTAAATTTTTGAAGGTTTACTTATTTATTTGAAAGGCAGAGTTACAGAGAGAGAGAGGGATAGATAGAAAGAGATATTCCATCCACTAGTTCACTTCCCAAATGGCAACAATGGTTGGGGTTGCGGAGGCCGAAGCCTGGAGCCTAGAGTTCCATCCAGGTCTCCCATGTGGGTGGCAGGGGCCCAAGCACTTGGGCCAGCTTCTGTTGTCATTAGCAGGTTGCTGATCAGAAGCGGAACAGCCGGGACTCATACATTGCAGGTCGCTTAACCCGCTATGCCCCAATGCCGGCTACAGGGGAAGTTCTTTATAGAGGAAAAGTCACTTTTATTTTATTTTTTTATAAAGATTTATTTATTTGAAAGTTAGAGTTACACAGAGATAGAAGGAGAGTGAGAGTGAAAGAGAGAGAGAGAGAGAGAGAGAGAGAGAGAGAGAGAGAAAGGTCTTCCATCCCCTGGTTCATTCCCCAATTGGCCACAATGGCTGGAGCTGCGCCAATCCGAAGCCAGGAGCCAGGAGCCAGGAGCTTCTTCTGGGTCTCCAAAGTGGGTGCAGGAGCCCAAAGACTTGGGCCATCTTCTGTTCCCAGGCCATAGCAGAGAGCTGGATCGGAAGTGGAGCAACCAGGTCTCGAACTGGCTCCCATATGGTATGCCAGCACTGCAGGCAGCAGCTTTACCCACTACACCATAGTGCTGGCCCTGAAAAGTCACTTTTAAATGTAGATGTTTTCTGAGTGCAACAAACCAAAGCTTTTATTGCAGAAGCCACTCCTATGTTTCTTACTATATTTTTGGTAAATAATTATACAAAACATTTCGATCTTCTATTAGGAAAAAAATGTTTTTTCCTCTATTCCCAAATCACAGTCAACACGGGAGACTTGTGTCCTCCAAAGGTGGGAGATGCACCCAGCAAGCAGGCCGTTGTGCAGCAATGGGCACCAGCTGGGGTCCTCTCCTTCTGCTTACTTCTGACACTGTTTGTGGAGGTGCCTTCCCATGGAGTTGGGATGCACCAGTCTCCTGGCACGTGGAAGGGTTCTCATCTGCCTTCCTGCAAGCCTCCACGTGTTCAGTTATCTGCAAGCTCCTTGAACCCTGCCCTTCTGAGTTTTTATGGGAACATTGCATAGGTGTGATTGCTAACAGGCTGGGTGGGGAAGCCCTGCAAGCCCATGTGCTTCAGCTTCTCCTTGGCCTCTCTGAGCAGGCCTCCTCTGCAGTGAGAAAGGCCTTAGACCTTACTGTTGGGTGAGACGAGAGCAGAGAATTGTTTTATGGGCAGCTCCAGGGCAGGTGGGACAGATTAGAGTTTCCGTGACTCCTCTTGGAGAGTAGAAATTCTAGTTTCTGTTGCTTGTCCTGGGGGAAAGGAGTTGTGAGCCAGGAACCACAGAAGAAAACCCAAATCAGTCATAATATCAGAATAGTAATTATGCAAAAGAAGTATCTGTTGTTTATCTGAGATGCAGTTTAACTGGGTAACCCTATCTTATCTGACTGTGGGAGCCTTGGGTCTGGGAGAGATTCTGCCATTGTACAAGGAAGACCCAGCATGAGATCCCTGGTGTTAGGATCATGTTTATATGTTTATCAATCATTTATAGCTGACTCATTCCTTAATCTACCACCGCAATGATTGCTAGCTAACATTTATTGAATACTTCAACTATAATGTCAGGCAATGTTCAAAGCCCATGAAATGTTTTACCTTATGCAGCCCTCTCAATAATCCTATTTGCTATTACTGTGTACAGAGGGAGCAATGGAGGCACTAATATTAGAAACTTGCCCAAGATCTCAAAGGCAGCCAGCAACAGGACCAGGATTTAAACCTGGACAGTCTGAGGCTGTAGAGCTTCTATGAGGGCTGCTCAAAAAAAAAAAAAACAAAAAACAAAAAACACGTTTGTGGAAAAATGTGTATTCTGAAAAATTCTGCATGGACCTCAAATGTTTTGCACCAAAATAAACATTTAATTCCATTTTCCATGAACTTTTTCAAGTACCCTCATATTGTGCACTGCTACATTGTGCTGCCTTTAACAGCTATTTGTTAGAAGTCTCTTACCCTGTGAAAAATGCACAACACAAAAGATAGGGTCATGGCGCTTAAGTAATTTATACTTGGCATCTACGGTGCAAATCACAGTGTGAAATGTGCTGAAGAGATGTGCCAAAAATCACTGTTTAGGAGTTCAAGAAAGCGGATCATTTCTGCTTGGAGGGAGAAGGAGTAACTGCCAGTGTCTTCACCATAGATTTGGTATCTTGAGCAGAGCTATACAAATATTTTAGGTCATTACCCTATTTTTTCTTCCTTTAACTTTTTAGAATGCTTAGATAACTCATGTATCCTACAGTATCTCAGATCTTATAGTCTTGGCATTCAACGGGCACTATTGGGCTCCCTTTTTCATTTAGCTTGAGTGGCATATATTTACTGACTGCAAGCTTAAATGAGAAGAATGACATTAACTTGGCTCATTTGTATGGCCTGGGAGTCGTACTTTGAACTGTGTTGCCTTGGTAATGATGGTCACTTCATGTACCTAAAGCCAACCAAAATTTCTTCTAGATCCCCTAAATTCTTTGAGATTTATATTCAGTAAATATTACTGGTGAACTCTACTTACAGCCTACCCTCCTCCACCAAATAATTAACATAAAAGCTAACCAACACATTCCCCAGGCAGGGCCTCCTCATTGTTTCTTTGCTGGGCTCCCCAGCAGCAGAGAGACATGGTTGGGCTTGCAGAGAGGGCTTCCATGAAGGTATGTGTGAGTTTGACTGATCAGGCCCAGAAGTTTTCTGCTCAGTCTCCAGGAAATTGTGCCTCACCACCTGTTCCATGTGTTTTCAAGTTTGAGATTAGTACTTTTCTTCCCTTAGAAAATTGAACATGGGTGTACAGACTTTCCTGTTTTATTTCTTTTTTAACTGTTTAGTACATCCCTATGAAATTTCATCAACAGTGGTGTTGCCTAAACTTGAATTTTCTTTTGCAAAGATAAATGCTTTCCTAATTGCTTTAATGCTCTAAAGGGTTCATCAGAGGGATTACTATTAATAAAATTACCAACTGTGGAAAATTCTTGGAGCCCCACCTGAAGCAAGATTTACATAAATAATAACGTCACAAGCAGTGGTTGGGAAAGATGAAACGAGAAAGAGCACTGAGTTCTTTCATTCTTCATTCATTTACTTTTAATCACGTGTGTAGAACTTTGTATACCACTTCTGCAACACCCTAGCAACCTTAGACAAGTGTGAGTGAGAGCATTTATTGCCTCATTGTCAGAGAAGATGTAAAAATAGAAAAACTGAATCCTTGAATAGGTGGCTTGATGTTATATAGGGTATCCATCTAAGTTAGTTCAGCCCCCATTTCTTTCTTTTCTTTTCTTTTCTTTTCTTTTCTTTTCTTTTTTGAAATTTGTTTTGACAGGCAGAGTGGACAGTGAGAGAGAGAGACAGAAAGGTCTTCCTTTGCCGTTGGTTCACCCTCCAATGGCCGCGGCTGGCACGCTGCGGCTGGCGTACCGTGCTGATCTGTTGGCAGGAGCCAGGTACTTCTCCTGGTCTCCCATGGGGTGCAGGGCCCAAGTACTTGGGCCATCCTCCACTGCACTCCCTGGCCACAGCAGAGAGCTGGCCTGGAAGAGGGGCAACCGGGACAGAATCCGGGGCCCCAACTGGGACTAGAACACCGTGTGCCGGCGCTGCAAGGTGGAGCATTAGCCTAGTGAGCCGCGGCGCTGGCCCCCATTTCTTTTTTAAGATTGATTTATTTATTTGAAAGCCAGAGTTACACAGAGAGAGGAGAGGCAGAGAGAGAGAGAGAGAGGTCTTCCATCTGCTGTTTCACTCCCCAGTTGGCCGCAACGGCTGGAGCTGTGCCGATCCAAAGCCAGGAGCTTCTTCCAGGTCTCCCATGTGGGTGCAGGGGCTCAAGGATTTGGGCCATCTTCTGCTTTCCCAGGCTATAGCAGAGAGCTGGATCGGAAGTGGAGCAGCCAGGACTCGAACTGGCACCCCATGGGATGCTAGCACTGCAGGTGGCAGCTTTACCTGCTACGCCACAGTGCCGGCCCCATAACCTCCATTTTTTTTTAAGTTATCTTGCAATACTTGTACATTTTTGTGGGGTGCAGTGGACTGTTCCTACACATGTATTTGGTATACATTGATCTAATCGAGTAATTAACATTCCATTTCCTTATCTTTCCTTTGCGTTTGAAGTCTATGAGTGCCTTTCTTCTAGTGCTTCGTACAATATTGTAAACTATGTTCACCCATTCCCCAATGTGAAATGCTAGAACTCACCACTTCTGTATTCCACATCTATTATCCAGCTTCCTGCCATCT